GGCTATGATTAATGTGTCCGCGCTTGACCACGCATAGGTAATTGGTTGGATCGGGTTCTTAGTTGTGGACCTGAGGGACTTGAGAACTTGGTTTATTGGTTCCACGTCGACGACTTGGGTGCCTTCAAAACGGATCCTTCCCAGAGTCTCAGGATCTATGTCTATAGACATATTTCCTAGGTACTCTGAGTCATCCAGAGTCGCGTCCCATCGTTCCGGATCGAGGTGATAGAGCGTCAAATCACCAATGTGTATGGTTGTTCCCTGGGGAACACTGATCCACATCGTTTTGTCCGGTAACGCCAAAGGCCTATTTGCCCCGGGTTGATCGTAGGCTATGATCGCCTGTCTTTGAAGAGCGTTCACTAGCCAACGAGAGCCAATTATTTCCGCTTTTGCATCTTTAGCCAGGTGTCGAGGCGTTACGGTCGTTGAGCACTTAGAATTTTCCGGAATAGGTGTTAATCCGCATATGCCCGCGGTTTTATTCCACATAAACGGTTTGCTCGGGCACAGATAGTGTATCTCCCGAGTGAGAACACACATCTGCAGGTTTGGAGCTAGGTAAACGGAGGGGTTGTCGTCGTGGTACGCAACCATCCTTGGTGTGTCAATTTGAACATGGTTTTCGCCGTGCCAATTGCCAACATTTACGACGTCCCTGAGTCTATATATGCCGTTTGAGGGAATTATCGGTAGGTTGATAATGAACGCCATTTCAAATGTTTTGTGATTGACGTAGATTGGGATTGCGCTACCGAGAGTGTAAGCCAGGTGTGCCTGTGTTTGCGTAACTTTTTCGTGCGTAGCGGAGCTGAGGATGTCGTTCACCATCTGTAGAGAGACTAGATACGGTGGGATCCTACCGGTGGCTAGTGTATCTACCGACGAACTGATATCTCTAAGCATGTCAGCAAAAATCCTATCCATTAGGTGTGCGACAGCGTAATCCGCTTTAACCTTAAGGGCTAACTCATTTTCCGCTATTACGAGGGCTTTGTTTTCTTGGGTGGCACCCAAGAGGGTGAAGATTACCAGGAGTGGTACCATCATTGTCCTATGGAAACACAAAGAGATAGGTCTTAGCTTCGTCATGGTCAAGGGTAGGTCCTGTGAATTTAAACTATGGTTAAGTTTATTATCCATTAGTTATCTTCTGCTTGGATGACCCTTATTCCCACGAGGTCAGATTTTGTGAGATCTTTGTCTCCTGAGGGATTATTGCACGCCTTGTGTGGTTTAACCTGGTTACGATGTACCCATTTAACAGTTGGCTCTTTTTGGCCTTTACTGATTTTTATCTGGTAGATAATTGGAGACACTTTGTCGATTATCAGATGGGGTCCAGTCCATCTGGGCATCAGCTTACGGGCGAGAGTTCCGGTCCCGGACTCTCTTCTCCCAGTTTTGGGTGCAAACGTGTAGTACCAGACCCTGTCTCCCACTTGGAGTTCCTCGTAAGAGGCCTTTTGGTCGTAGTACGCTTTGCGTCCTTCAGCTGATTTTTCCAGGTTTTTCTGTGCGAAAGCAAAAGTGTTTTTAAGGTGTCTTTCCAAGTCTTTCATGTATTGTTGTGTGGTGTAGGCTGTTGCCATGGCAGCATCGCCTGGTTGGTACAACAGGTGCAGAGGGAGAGTCATTTGTCGACCCGTCATCATCTCGAAAGGAGCGATGCCAGTCGACGTGTGTGGAGTGGCCCTTATGGCCATGAGGACCAGAGGGAGTTTCACGTCCCAGTCCTTGTGGTTTGCGGCTACGTATTTTTTCAAAATACTCACCACAGTCCTGTTTGCTCTCTCAACCTGGCCTGAAGCCTGTGGGTG